TCACCATGTTGACCAGGATGGTCTCGATCTCTCGACCTCGTGATCCACCCGCCTTGGCCTCCCAAAGTGCTGGGATTACAGGCTTGAGCCACCGTGCCCGGCCCTAATTTTTGTATTTTTAGTAGAGACGGGGTTTCACCATCTTGGCCAGCCTGGTCTTGAACTCCTGACCTCAACTGATCTGCCTGCCTTAGCTTCCCAAAGTGCAAGGATTACAGGTGTGAGCCACCAAGACCAGCTGGGTCCTTTTTTTGAGACAGGCTCTTGCTCTGTTGCTCAGGCTGGAGTGTAGTGGCACCATCACAACTCACTGGGTCCTCAACCTCCTAAATTCAATCCTCCCACCTCAGCCTCCTGAGTAGCTGAGACTACAGGTGTGCACCAACACACCCAGCTGATTTTTTAATTTTTGGAAGAGGTGGAGTCTCCCTATGTTTCCCAGACTGGTCTCAAACTCCTGGCCTCAAGTGATCCTTTCACCTAGGCCTCCCAAAGTGCTAGGATTACAGGTGTGAGCCACCGTATCTGGCCCCAATCTTTTCTCTGTGACAAATTTTCTTCTTGAGGTACATTCTTTTTTTTTTTTTTTTTTGAGATGGAGTTTCGCTCTTGTTACCCAGGCTGGAGTGCAATGGCGCCATCTCCGCTCACCGCAACCTCCGCCTCCTGGGTTCAGGCAATTCTCCTGCCTCAGCCTCCTGAGTAGCTGGGATGACAGGCACACGCCACCACGCCCAGCTAACTTTTTGTATTTTTAGTAGAGACGGGGTTTCACCATGTTGACCAGGATGGTCTCGATCTCTCGACCTCGTGATCCACCCGCCTCGGCCTCGCAAAGTGCTGGGATTACAGGCTTGAGCCACTGCGCCTGGCAAGGTACATTCTTAAGAAATTTCTTTAGGGAAGGACTATTAGTGGTAAACTCTCTAAATGTCTGTGACTTTTATTCATCTGAAAAAAGTATCTAAAGTTAAAAACGTTTGACATGTAATAATTATATGTATTTATGGGGTACAAAGTAATGTTCTGATATATGTATATATTACATAATGATTAAATGAAGCCAGTTAACATATTCATCACCTCACACACTTACCATCTTCTTGTGGCCAGTGTCTATTTAGCTGCTAGAGAAAAAGAAAAATCCTTGTGGTTAGAACATAGTTTATTCTTTAAGTTTAGGGGTGTGTGACTTAATCCCTGCCTGGCACTGCCTTAGGTCTTATTTATAACGTGGAATATTATTGCTACAAGGAGTGCATTCCATCAATCTCATAATCTCTATTTTAATACTTTGTAGATCTATATCTTTCTAATCTTTTTATTTCTAAATTATTTATTTATTTGTTTGTTTGTTTTGAGACAATCTCACTCTGTTGCCCAGGCTGGAATGCAGTGGCATAATCTTGGCTCACTGCAACCTCCACGTCTAGGGTTCAAGTGATTCTCCTGCCTCAGCCTCCCTAGCAGCTGGGATTACAGGTGTGTGCCACCATGCCTGGCTAATTTTTGTATTTTTAATAGGGGTGGGGGTTTTGCCATTTTGGCCAGGCTGATCTCAAACTCCTGACCTCAGGTGATCCACCTGCCTCGGCCCCACAAAACACTGGGATTACAGGTGTGAGCCACCGTGCCCGGCCTATATCTATCTAAACTCTCTCTCTCACTTTTTCTTTTGTCTGTTCATCTGTTGATGGACACAGTGGATTCCACGTCTTGGCTGTCATGAATAATGCCACAGTGACTATGGGAGTGCAGGTCTCTCTTGGAGATACTGATTTCTGTCTCTCTGGCTAGATGCCCAGAAGTGGAAGAGTTATTTCCTCCTGAGCCCTTTACAGATCTGATCTTCCTCTCCTTTGGCTGTCATTGTGGCTGTTGGAATTCTGCTGTCAATCTTATCGCTGTTTCCCAGGAACTGATCTTTCTTTTCTTTTGGGCTGGCTTAAGGATTTACTACAATTTCCCTATGTCACCTTTCTTTTTCTTTACTCTATTTAGTCCCTGTTGTGCCTCTCTGTGTATACTTACTTTTGATCAGTTCTGAAATATTCTCAGGCATAACTTCGTCAGTGATCAACTCTCTTTGCTTTGAGATTTCAACCAGACTTCCGTTAAGCTCCCTGCACACGATCTTTCTGTTTTGTTTTCCTGTTTTCTTTCCCCTTTTTCTTGCTCAGACTTAAGTGGGCATCAGAAAAATACCATCTATTTCTTATTTTTTCTATTTTCTATTTCCTTATCTTTTGCGCTACATTCTTGGTGATTTTTTTTAGATTTAACTTCTAGTTTATTAATTCCCTCTTCAGCTGTGTCTAATTTGCTGTGTAATCTGTTTGCTGAGTATTTTTTAACAACAGCTTTATCGAGATATAATTCACACACCATAACACCTTTTTAAACATACAAGCCAGTGGTTTGTAGTATATTTATAGAGTTGTGTGACCATAATCACTATTTTTAGAACATTTTCATCACTCCCAAATGAGCAATTTTATCACTTTATTTATTAGTAGTGCCTATTACCAGTTTCTAGGGAGGAACTGATTCCCCTATTCCACCCTCCTAGCACCAGGCAACCACTGAGCTACCATCTGTCTCTCTTGGATTGTTCTATTCTGGACATTTCATAAAAGGAAAACCACACGATATGTGTTTTCTTGTGACTGGCTTCTTTCAGTCACCATAATTCTTTCAGGTTTCTGTTGACCTTTTCATTTCAATGAAAAATTTTCATTTCTAGACGTTCTGTTTTTATTTTTTTTTCTGATAAGCATGGTGATCGGTTTGATAGTGCTTTGTTCCTTACTTTAATATAGCTGAAGCGTAGTAAATAGGCTCATTTTATATCCTATATTTGATATTTTCCATTTAGAAAGTTGTGGTGATTTAAATCTGTTGCTTGTCACTGTTCAGCTGAGTCTCACTTGGAGGCTTACTTTCTTTAGATATGTGCTGATTTTCCACTTCGAACTCATATTTGCTTCAGTTAAATTTGTGGGAACCCCATCCCTAAACTGGGGCTTGCTTTCTCTAGAGAGGATTCATTGTTGGTTTTGCTTTCGAACGCAGGGGTGCTGCTGACTGGGACCACCCTGGGAGAGGGCTGTGTGGGCGGCAAGTGGAGAGTCCAGGAGGGCTCCGTGTGGGTGGCAAGTGGAGAGTCCAGGAGAATGCACCCCGTGGGGCAGCCCTCAATCAATGACTCTTGGACACCACTGTGAAAACACCTGTTCCCTTGTCCCGTGGGTGAGCTCACCGAGGCTCACAGTTTGTCTCACTTCCCAGAGGCCCTCCATGGGGTCAGGCTCCAGTTTCCCACCATGGCGGTTTGCTGTGCACCACAGGCTTGCCCGCCTCCTCCTCTACCCCGGACCACTTCTGCACTCCCAGGGCTGCTCCCACACTGCTGACGAAATGGCTTGCCCTGGAATCCGTGCCTCAGGCTCCGCTTCTGAACCTCAGACCCAGTGCGGGCCCAGGTTTGTCCCAGGACCACTGTGGCTTCCGCATCTGCGTCCTGCTCAGTGGGCAGACTTTGGGGGTCCATTATTCTATGTACTTTTTTCTTTATGGACTCAGATTTCTTTTACTTTCTTGAGAGCTCTGTATATTTTGAAAAGAACTGTGTTTGAGCCTTGATCCAGCTCTTGCCCTCTGCACCTTATGAATCTCAATTAACTCCTCATTCAGGTCTCCGATAAAATGTCAGGTCCTGGGAGAAGCTTTCCCTGACCCTGAGGCAAATCGGGCTCCTGTCGTGGCCTCTTGTCCATCTCGTCCTTGCCTCTGCCCCTCTGGAGCCACACGCAGAGCGAAGGCGTGCAGTCCCTGCAGCCCAAGCTGTGTCACCTGTCACCTGTGTCGCCGTGTGACCCTGAGCGGGGAGCTCCAGTTTTCTGTGCGAGTCTCCTCATCTGTGAGATGGAAATGATACTATCTGCACAGCAGGGTTGTGGTGGGACTGTAACGATAATAGATATGAAGTGTCTAGAACAGGTGGAATCCACAGTACATGATCAATAAATGTTAGCTCTGACGGTCACATCCTGCAAAGCTAAGCTGCGTTAGGGGTCACCACTCGTCTAAGGTGAGAGTCAGCAGGGCGGAAACCAGGTCTGTCTCCTTGTGTCCTTTCCCAGGGCCCAGGGCAGGGCTGGGCCAGCAGGGAGCACGCAGTACATGCTTTCAGGTCGAATGAAAGAAAGCAGGACCAAAGGCACGGTGGCAGGTTGGGGCTTCCCCAGGGCCCCCAGGAGGCGGATTTCAGGCACAGGGACACGTGCAAAGGCACAACTTTTCCACAGCTGGAGGGCAGAGCGGGAGGGCCAAGGAAGCCCAGACACGGGTCCAAGGCTCTGACGCCCTGGCCAGGATTTGTGCCTTTACCCTCGGGCGCAGGTGTGGTTGGCGACAGAAGTTCCTGGGACTGCGGCTGCTGGTGGGGGTCTTCGTGGATGCTCAGGAGAAGAGAAAGGCTGGGAACCATTGGAAACTGGAAAGCCGGGATGAGGTTGGGGAGCAGTGGGGAGGAGAAGGGAGGGAGGGAAAGGAGGGAGGGGAGGGACGGTGGGCAGCAGTGGGAGGGGCCGGGAGGAGGCGGAGGGCGGGGCCCCGGGGCTGGGCGTCTGACCCTAGCGGTCTTCGACCCGGGACCTGAGCCCGGCGCCGCGCCGGGTGCCTCCACCTCTCTGCGCCTTTGTGCATTTTGCTTCCTTTCTCAATAAACGTTCTTCCGAGAAATTCCAAGGGGATCGCAGCCAAGCGGAGGGGGAAGGGATCCTACCCACGCCTGGGTAGGGGACCGCGGAGGCGGGGGAGGAGTGGGGGGCGCCGCGGGGGAGGGAGCGGGAACCCGAGGGAGCGAGCGCTGGAGAGCGAGGGGGCGCGGAGGGCCGGGGCCAGCTATACCTGCGTGGGGGCCGCGAGTCCCGGGCACCCCCGCCCCGCCCGTCTCCCGCCGCCCCCGCCCCCCGTGCGGCCCCCGCCCCGGCTCCGCCCCGCCCCTCGCGCGGGGTCCGCGTCTGCGGCTGCGTTCCCCGAAAGACGAGGCTGCGCCCGGATTCCGGTCCGCAGGGAGACCGAAGGGCACCGCTCCCCGCGCCACGCACGCCGCCCGAGCCCGAAGTGCGGACACCCCAGGGATGTGAGTGCGCCCCCCCGATCCCGAGGCCCGCCCTCCTCGCCCCACCCGCGGTGAGCGCCGAGGCGCGCGCGGAAGGCCGGGGGACGGGACTCGGCGCGGGGTTCCCGGCCCCCCAGCCCAGGGGTGGGGGTGGGGACTGGCGCGCGCCCCTTCCCCCGTGGCAGGTACCGGCTCCCGCCCCTGCCGCTCGTTCCGGTCCGGACGCACCTGCGGCTCCCGGGGGAGAAGAGGGCGCCCCTTCCCCTCCCCACACAGGTGCCGGCGCGGGGCGTCTCGAGCTGTCCGCGCGCCCCGGAGGGCAGCCCTCTCCCAGCGGGGATGCTGTGACAGCGCGAGCTCTGGGAACCGGCTGCGGGTGGGGCTCTGCGCGCTCCGGCAGACCCCGGCCCTGGATTTCGGGTAGAAGGCTGCGCCCTGAGGCCCGGAAAGGAGAGGGTCCTTGGGGTCTCCTGACCAGCGCTTCTTCCCGCCAGGCTTGCGCCCCAGAGGACCCTCGCCCCGAGACCCCGCGCCGGCCCCAAGCCCGCCCGGAGCATGCTGCCTGCAGCCATGAAGGGCCTCGGCCTGGCGCTGCTGGCCGTCCTGCTGTGCTCCGCGCCCGGTGAGTAGGGGGCCCGCGCGCTGGGTCAGGTGCCTGGGAGAGCCGGGGGCGCCGCGGAAGAGCCGGGTGTGGAGCCGCCACCCTCTGACGGTTCCCGCCGCGCTTCCCGGAGAGCCCACGCCCCCTCCGGGATCCCGGCGACCCCGGCCCTCGGCTGCTCTGCGGCTCGGGCTCTTTCCCGCGCTCTTCCTCCAGGGCCAGGAACTGGTGGGCGGCTGGGCCCGCGCGGAAGCTCCTGGTCATCGGCCACCTCCTCCCGGGCCTCCCTTCAAATGCAGTTTGGTCCTTCACAGCTTGGAGCCCACAGAACGCGGGGGTGGGGGGCTATGCGAGGCAGGGTGGGCGTGTGCGGGGGGCACTGTTGGTGTGGGGTCTCTTGTAGCCCGTATGTGTGTGCCTGTGTGTGCACACACACACACACACACACACACACACACACACACTCATGCATGGGGGCCAGGCAGGAGCCATAGGAGCTCCCCTCAAACTGCCAGGATGGGGCACAGTGGTCCCAGGGCCGCTGCTTCCCGTCCAGGGGTCACGGTGGCCTGCTCACTCCTGTGGAGTAAGGCCCTTCTAGGAGTGCTTGCAGCAGGGGGGCGCAGGGGGCGGCCTGCTTCGGCCCCTAGTGCCTCTGGTCACGCCCCCATGCTCTGCCCAGCTCATGGTCTGTGGTGCCAGGACTGCACCCTGACCACCAACTCCAGCCATTGCACCCCGAAGCAGTGCCAGCCGTCAGACAAGGTGTGTGCCAGTGTCCGAATCACCGACCCCAGCAGCAGTAAGTTGGGACTAGGGTGGTGGGGGAATGTACTGAAAGCGAGGCTCTTGGGGAAGGTCAAAGGTGTCCTTTGAGCCCTTCTGGCTCCGGGGAGAGTGTGGGGCCACAGGCAGAACACTACCGGGCTGTGTGACAGTGAGCAGGTCCTGGTCCCTCTCTGGCTCCTTAGTGACCCTTTCCATCTAGTTGGGGCCAGCCGGGGAGGGTGGAGGGATTGCAGTTTGCCTGTCTGGGGCCCTGAGCTGACACGGAGGGGACTGGGCTGGGTCCCTGGCAAGGCCGAAAGGGCCCAGGAGCCGCGGCCCCGGTCCCAGTCCGAGCTTTCTCTTCCCAGGCAGGCAGGATCACTCGGTGAACAAGATGTGTGCCGCCTCCTGCGACTTCGTCAAGCGACACTTTTTCTCAGACTATCTGATGGGGTTTATTAACTCTGGGATCTTAAAAGTCGACGTGGACTGCTGCGAGAAGGATTTGTGCAATGGGGGCGCCGGGGCAGGGCACAGCCCCTGGGCGCTGGCCGGGGGGCTCCTGCTCAGCCTGGGGCCCGCCCTCCTCTGGGCAGGGCTCTGAGGTCTCCTCCTTCCCACAGGGCTTCTCAGCTTGCTCCCCTGAGCCTGTGGCTGCCCCCTTCCTGGCCTGGCCTGGCTGGGGCTGGGGGCAGCCTTGGCCCAGCTCTGTGCCTGTGGCCGGTGGCTCTCTCTCCTCCCCCGATGTGAAGCCTCCCTGTCTCTCCGCCAGCTCTGAGTCTTGGGCAGCTGGACATCCCCTGGGAACCCAGCCATCTGGGCAGGAGATCTGGGGAGGAGGGCAGGGGGTTGGGACCCCCCAGGTCCCAAAGGGGAAGTGAAGCAACAGCCTAGCTGGAAGGGTGTCTTCTATAGAGAAATAAAGTCACTTTTGAGTCCTGAGACCCGGGTCTGAGCCTGGGTGTGGGGAGTGGGAAAGGGGGCCTGGTGGACAGCCGGGAATGAGGTGCCGAGGCAGCAGAGAGGGGCGGGGGCAGCACGGGCGCTCAGCCATGCTCTCTGCTCCCGGGCTCAGGGCACTGGGGTGCTGGGTGCTTGTGCTGGGCTGCTCGGGCCTGGTGAGGTTTGGGAGCACTTGGGGTGATGGGTAAGAGTTGAGAGGAGCAAGATCGCAGGTGGGCCTGGGGTGAGGCACAGGAATCCTGGGTGCACACCGCAGACGCCAGACTCGCACACACAGTGGTGCCCACGCAGCTGCCAGCCTGGGCACGGGCTCATGCACACACACCGTGCCTGCCCTGCTCACACACACACACTCGCACACGTGCTGGGTGTGCAGATAACTGGCACACACTGGCGTGTCCCGGCGCACGTGCACACGCCCACAGTCATACATCCACGTCTGTGCACACCCCCCCTTGGGCGCTCAGCTTGCAGTGCACCCGGAACCCTGCAGACTCACAGATGTGAGCACACGTGTATGCTGGCCTCCTCTCGCCCCTACCCCTCGCTCTTCGCCTCTGTGGGCTGCGTCAGGCTGAGTGGAGCCCTCGTGTTCTCTCACCCTGCCCCTTCTCTGGACATCCATCCTGGCCACTTCGGGCCCTGAGTTGGGGTCCTGGGGCCAGTGCCTGTGGCCAGGGGCTGAGGAAGCCCACCTGTCTGTGTGGGCTGGCCCAGAGGGACTGGATGCCTCGGAGTGAAGGGGCAGGGAAGACTGGACCTGGGGAATGTGGAGTGATGTCGGATCCTTCCCGCTCCATTCCAGCTGCATCCCCGCATCCAGCCCAGGCTCCCACACCCACTGGCCGCCGCGTCTGATGCTCCACCGGTGGCTTGTCCCACGGCCCAGGCTCACCCCACAGTGCCTGGCAGGCACCCCAGGGTTTCTCTGAGGCCTGGTCTCTGGCCACTACTGCTTTGTGCCACCTGTGGCTGACCCAGTCTCATGGCCACAGCTGGATCCTGGACTCATTAGGGAAAGCAGTGGTTTCTATAAGAGCTGGCCTTGCGTGAGTGATGGCAAGGAGTCGAGTCCGGGGCTGGTGAGCCAGGGAGAGAGAGGAGGCCTGTGGTCCTGGGCACTGGCGCCAAGTCCCTGCGGGACACAGCCAAGGGCTTTTCCACAGAGGGGCATCTGCTCTGCGATGCGCCCCTGTCCCCGCCCCCTTCAGTAAAGTGTGCCGCTCTTGCTTGTGTCTGGTGTTTTGGGGGCGGGGGGACTTGCAGAGAAGTTGAGAATTCCCGGGGCGCAGAAAGCCCAGGAGTCATGGAACAACCCCCAGGGAAGCCTTGGGTGGCCGCGGACAGGCCGGCCCAACGGGGGTGAGGCTTGAGCCAGTTTTCATATGAATCTTTGTATGCTGAATTTATTTTCTGAAAGATGTATTTAAAGACACAAAAAGGTGTGAAATTCTCCCACCTCCTTGAGGAATCATAAAATCAGAAGGGCATGCCCTCACCTCCCACTCACCTCCCACTCTGAGGCGTTGCCAGGGTGGGACAGGCAGGAAGCCGCCAGCTCCCAAGCTGCCGGCACCCGCAAAGTCGGTTTCCCCATCTCAGGAGTGTAAGTGTGGTCCCCACCTGACAAGTTGTCTTTGAAGGGCTGAACCTCACGGTCCGCGTGAAGCCCTTGGTCCAGCGGGGCACACAGACAGTGCTGAGAAATGCACCTGCTACTCTTTCTACTGAGCAATTCACCAGTGATGTCCTCCCGGGGCCCCGTGTCCAGGCCAGCCGGTTTTCAACATCTGCCTAGGGGTCCCCTGGACGAGAGAGCCATGCATTTGTACCATCCCTTATGGGACGTAGGAGTTTGCTCTCAAATGTCTATTGTCAGCAACACTGAAGTGCCACCCTGTCTTCATACCTCCATGGGCTCCAGTGGCGATGGGTGTAGGGTTAATGCCGAGAAGTGACAGGAAATCTGTCGAAATCGCTGCTTCTGAAAATTCCGGACACACTTTGCTGGCAACGAACGCTCTTCAGCTTGAGGAATGCTCTGCCCGTCTCGTGGACAAAGGGAATCTCCCCGCCGTCTGTGTCAGCCACGTGGGCGTCTCTCTCGCCCGGTCACACCTTTGCCCACGCTCCTATTGTGGCGTTTCTCTTTTCCACCTGTCACCACAGCCTTTTGCGTACTTTACGGACACGTATCTTCCTGTGCTACACGTTGTGTGGCTATTTCCCTGCTGTCTGCCGCTGCGTCTCAGTGGTGGTGTTTGCACCGTGCGCTGCTGGATGTTCTAAGGTTCGACACAGTCACAGCTGTCAAGTTGTTCTTTTGTGGTGAGGGGCTTTGCGTCTTAGGAGAATTTCCTCTACCCTTATCTTGTGAAAAGAGTTCCTTAACAGTTTTGCAGATTTGGTTACTGCACTCGGAGAGCCAATGCACCTGGAGTTTATTTACACTGTGGCAGGGGGTAGGAGCTTCTTCCAAACGGCCGCTGTTCTCAATGTCCTTTACTAAATAACCTGCCTGTGGCCCGGTGATCTGAGCTGCCACTCTGTAACAGGATGCCTTCCCACGTGCCAGGCTGTTTCTGAGCCCCTGCCCGCTGCGATTGCACGGGTCACTTCATCGCGGGTCGTTTGATGCGATGCCGTTTCCATGAGGGCAGCCGGGCGGCGTGTTGGACACTTGCTAAGTCCAGGGCCCTCCTTCTTGTTCTTTTAAAATGCGTATGGCTGCCTCTCCCAGTCTATGCTCACAGATGGACTTTGGGATCCTGGTCTCCAGTTGCAGAATAACACTGTTAGCGTTTCCACTGGAATGCGTCTCTCTGGCACGTGAGGTTGGAGCAGCTGCCATCCTGACTGCTCCGTCTCCCAGTCACCAGCTCGGAGCCCCTCCGGCCTCCTCGCTCGGCCTCCTGAGTGACGTCCCACAGTGAGGCTTTGCCATTCCCTTCACCGGGCTTGTGCTCGCTCCTTAGTGTGCTTATCACTGGGTCATTTATGGTTCTTGGTGTTGCCAGTGGGATTTCCCTTCCCACCTTACATTTAATGGCCATTGTTGGTGTGATGAGTGGTGTGATGAGTATTTTCTTGTGATTTCTTTTCGTGAGTCTCGCACCCTGTTGAAGCAGGTGGGCTAGGGGTGCTTGCTGCCTGAGGGGAGGGGCTGATAGGGCGGAACACCGGGGTCCCCCAGACTCCTCCTTGGTGCTGCCGGAAGCCTGACCCGCCAGGTCGTGAACTCCTCGGAGGCAGACAGTGAGGCAGAGGGGGGAGTCCGAGGAGGAACCTCTCAGAACATCTCAAGACACTGTCAAGTAAAGGAAAATCGGGCTTTACAGGATGGAAGCTAGTTTTGTTCAGAAGTCTTGCTGAAGATTGCAGCGGGGGTCACCCCAAGGGTTTCTGGTAGGCTACTCTAGAGCTGTTCCAGCCCACGCCCGACGTGGGGCAGCGGCTCCGCAGGTGTGACAGCGGGTTGGAGCCTCGGGGCTGCGTGTGGGGCTGCATCTGGCCACGGAGGCTACGGTCACACTTGCAAGTCCTGTCCACATTCTCTTTCGAGCAGGAAGAAGCAAGGGTCAGGCTCGTTGAACTCACCTTTCTAAAGATGCAGTGATTCAGGCAGGAGAATGGGGACAGTCTGCAGCCGGCCCCCGGCCTGTGGGGCACCCTTCCACAGGGCTGCTCTCAGTCCCCTGCCTGCTTTGTCTGAGAATACAGAGTGGGAGGGAGGCACTGCCCTCCAACCGGGATGAGAGACCCCCTGGCCCCGGGAGAGATGGGGGCTGCTGAGGGCTGAGGCTGGAATGGGTCCCAGAGAGAGGTTGCACCCGGCGTCCTGGGCAGCACTCCCAGAACGCCAAGACCTCAGAATAGCCCCGTGTGAAAGTGGCCAGGGCAGGCAGGCCCCCGGCAGCCTCAGAACCAACGGGATGGGGTTAGAGACGCAGATAAAGGAGAAGTCATTTGGTGGTGGCCTGTATGCGCTGGGCACTGGCCGAGGCTGGGAGCCCCGGGGTGTCTCCACAAACGCCCTGAGTGGACATCCTGCTGCCTGCAGCCCTGGGAAAGAGGCGTGAGGGCTGCAGGTGCTACGCCTACACCCCTGCCAGCCGTAGGGTGGAGAGGTCTAGAAATGTAAACTGTAGGAATGAAGACGTCGTGTTTCTCGCTCAGCTTTGTGGGCTGTGCCCTTCTACGAGGGTGCCCACCAGAGTGCGTTTCAGCAGAGGGGGTCACAGTGGAGTTGCAGGGAGGGCTGGGGCCTCGGGCTGCAGGCGTGGCCTCCGGCAAGGACTCCAAGCTGGCCTGGCTGGCACGCATGCTGCCCCTGCACCGTCCCGGGAAGGAGGCTGCCCCCGCCTCCGTAGCTCACCTTAGGAATTCCACCCGGCAGCTACACCCGAGGGCCTGGGAGGCTGCAAGATGCAGCTTCTGAATTCTGCCACGGGAGAGCGGGACTCATGATTCGGAAACTTTCAAAAATGTTCAGAGGGTGTTCAGGCGAGTTGAGGCAGCCACAGATAACACTGCAGGTCGGCGAGCAAGGGCTGCTTATTTCTGAATGCGAAGATTCCCAAATTCCGTGATTAGCAGAGTCTCTTAGACGTTCAAGGGATATAACCGTACAATCAGCAAATCAAGAAGATTTGGTTGCTTCTTTCCTGGTGCTTATATTGCTCGTTCAGCTTTTGTTTCTGTTGCGTTAGCTGAGCCTGCCAAAGCGTGGCTGAATCGTAACAGTGACCAGGGTGTCTGCGCTCACAGGAGGCCCTTCATGTTACGCCACAAATTAGCGTTTGCTGTTGGATTTCAAAGCCAGTCTTTACTCAGTCTAGACTCTTTACTTATTCATATTTCATTTAGTTTTTTTAAAATGAGGAATGGCTGATGAACTTAAAAGAAATGCCCTTTCATTATCTATTGCTATAAGTCCCTGTTTTCCTACTTAATGAACAGTCAGCATGGCCAGCTCCATTGC